GGACCTCTGCATGAATCTCTCCGCACTCTCCTTTCTCTGTCAGTTTTCTCACTCCATTTGGTTCTTGGCTGATTTCTTTATCTCTTCATTTGATGTTTCAGGGTTTCAGGGTTGCTGTTTTCTCTGTTTGTCTTAGTTTTTCGGATCTTTGCTGTGGAGGGACGGCGTGGTGCTTCTGCCTAGAGCACCATTTTGATGGAAGTCTCATGAAGAGGAATTTTATTTTGGATTTTGGACTTGGAGTTGATTTAAGAGTTTTGCTATGATATGATGAGGTGAATATATTTTACGTGTGGCAAGGATGTGAATTTTGGGGGGCCAAAGGGTGGAGGGTCATGGATTGAATTGTGTCCCCAAAAAATATCTGTCAACTTGGCTGGATCATGATTCTCAGTATTGTATGATTGTGTACCATTTTGTAATCTGATGTGATTTCCTTATGTGTTGTAAATTCAATCACTATGATGTAATAAGATGGATTAATGGCAGTTATACTGATGAGGTATACAAGATTGGATAGTGTCTTAAGCCAATCTCTTTTGAGATATAAAATAGAGAAGTGAGCAGAGACACAGGGGAACCTCATATCACCAAGAAGGCAGTGATGGGAGCAGAGTGTGCCCTTTGGACCTGAGGTTCCTTCGCAGAGAAGCTCCCAGACCAAGGGAAGATTGATGACATGGACCTTCCTCCAGAGCCAATAGAGAAAGCTTTTCCTTGGAGCTGATGTCCTGAATTTGTACTTGTATCCTACTGGACTGTGAGAGAATAAACTTCTCTTTGTTAAAGCCATCCACTTGTGGCATTTCTGTTATAGCAGCACTAGATAACTAAGACACTTGGGTAGAGGTTTGTGAATAATAGTGGAAATTGAAAGTTTATATACCTTACCATCCAGTGCTAACATGTATGAAGTCTACATGCAGCTGAGTCTAAACAATGATTACTGGAGTTGTTTTAGTACTAGCTAATGGATTTCAATTGACGTTACCATGAAGTCAGGTGTTTGGTGTATTTTTTACTGGGCCAAGGTTTTTCACTTCTTCCCCAGAGTGCTTTTTGGGCAAGATCCATCTTATATTGTTCAGGTGCCTCTGAACCAAACCCTTTCTGCCTTGTTCTTAGAGTCTCACATGCCTCCTCTTCCCTGATTGTCCCTGAGCCTGCATGGGAGGGGGTGGGTAATGACACTAGATTTTCATGTCCCAGTTTTGTAAAACATTGTAATGATAGACTAGTACAATGAAATTTCCCTGCAATTATTATACAAAATAATCTAACTGGTAATTTTTTTCACCAGGTTCCCTATCCAGAGAACCACCCCTTGATCTCAGCCTATGAAGTATCATCTTCTAGGTGCTCAATTCTCCCTAGTTTTGCTGGTAAATGTATAATGCAGTGATTTACTAGATCTCAATTACCAGGAATATATACATAGCATTCAATTTTTAATAGAGCACAGAGGCCTCCTTGGGCCACGGTGATCATACCCAGGGCCATCAAATTTTCTTACACCACCCTCCTCTGGTTGCAGTATCTTCATTAAGGCAGCCAGTCATGTTCATTGCTGTCCAAGGCCAAGGGGACAAATTTCTGCAAAATCCCAGTCTTAGCCATAATGCTAACATTTTCTATCAACAATCAGTGCAAAGGAGAAAAGGCCAGAAGCTTTTAGTAGAAAGAAAGAAGCTTATTAGGTAGCTAAGTAGGACACTCATACTTCTCTATTAAAATGTTACTAGTATTATTTCCTCCTTTTGTTATTACTTCTGTAGCTTGTGGGGTTTTCCCTGGCTAGGTGTACCAAACCTTGTGACCAAGGAGGTCCCATTTGGCAGTGTTAATTACCTAAGGGGAGGGCAAGATCCATGTTATTGTTGTGGCTGGTGTCCCCCATGCTATAGATTGATGTCTGTCCCACTGTCACCTGCTTTCTTCCAGTGTTGTCCCATTGAGAAGAATGGGCTAAATGTCAGGGCAGGAGAATCCACTCAGCTTTATCAGCAGTAGGAGTCCTACCCATTCCCCCAGGACCTGCCATTAGATGCCACAACTGATTGTCCCCTGTCCAGGGATGATGCTTACTGGTGTCCTTAGCAGCAGTACATGTCGATAATGTCCAACTCAGGCATGAATGTTTCCGGTGTTGTCTTCCATATCCTTATACCTTGATCTGTGGGCGGCAGCTCACTATCTAACCGCTAGAATGAGGACCTCCCTCCCACAGTGGGAGCTTCATCTAATTCTCTCATAGCCTCAGGAAAAACAACTGCCAAGTGGAGAAAATTTGACAAACCAGTCAGTGTTTTTATTTGTTCTTGAAGGAGGCCAGTTTTCCTTTCAATTAATTCTGCACCCTGAGGCTTATAATGTGGTGTAAGTGCCAATCTAGAACTTATTTCTCAGTCCATTGCTGCACAGGGGCCTCTGTAAAGTGAGAACACTGATCACTGCTCTTTTCTTTAGGAGTACCATACATGGATATTAGTTTTCCAAACCTGAAATTGTGGCAGTCTGATTGGCTCTTATAGTAGGGAAATCCTGGGGGAGTCCACTGTAGGTATCCACACGCGTGAGAACAAATTGATATCCCTTACTTTTAGGGAGAGGGCCTATATAATCAATTTGCTAAATCTGTAAGGGACCCTTTTAATGGCCTGTTAATGTGCCATGTCTTGTACTTAAGTGGAGCATGGAGCTTGCAGCAACATACTGAACACGATGCTCCACCTTTCTTGTGTATCCACATAGAATCTACTTCTAGATTATCAACGGGGACACTGGCCCTCGCACTGCTGCTAGGGCATCTGCTTCAACATCGCCCATTGGGGAATTCACTGTGTGTGCTGGGACGTGATACACAGTTGCTTTAGATTCGGGTCATGCAGTTTGTCCCAGATATCTTGCTGTAGTTCTTGCCCCCACAGGGGTCTTCCGTTATTTCCCAACCATCCTTTCTCCATTGGGGTATCCACAGAGGGAGGCCTTTTATTACTGCCCAAGATTCAGTAAAAATAGTTAAGGGGTGGGACTCTTGGGTGATTACTAGCCAGGCTGCTCTTAATTTGGTCCATTGGCCATTAAGCCCAGTACCTGTTTCTATCCAGATGGTGTCAGTAGCAGGCCTGCTAGAAACAGCTCACCAATCAGGGAGCTGGGCGGCACTAGAATCATCAGTATAGCAGATCTCCTCTGGGATTGTGCCTGCCTCCTCTTTGACACAACCTATTTAATTGTTGCCTCCCACCTGCAGTCTTTTTTTGTTTTTTTAAGGTATCATTTGATTTCTTTACACTTTTTAAAAATTGTGGTAAAAAAATATACATACACACAAGTATGTATATATATACATAGAAAAACAAGTATTTGCCATTTCAACATATTTTGCCTGTACAATTCACTGACATTAAGTACATTAATCATGTTGTTCAACCATTGCCACTGTTTCCAAATTTTTTCATCACCCTTAACAGAAGCTCAGTTCCCCTCAAGCAATGACTCTTCCTTTTCCCTTCCCCCCCACCCCTGGTAAACATTAATAATTTTTGGTCTTTATATATTTGCCTGTTCTATATTTGATATAAATGAGATCATACAGTATTTGTGACTTATTTTAGTCACCATATTTTTTTAACTTCAGGGCCCACATCTTCTTACGTTTTTCTTTCTTGCTGTGCATTTTATGTTTCCATTGTTTACCTGACAATATTTTTAATACCAGCAGTCCGTGGTTGATGAATGTCTGACTTATGGTCAACTCATATTTAAAAACAGACCACCATGAAGCCTATTATATTAAAAATTTGATCAAAATACAATGGTTCAAAATAATGAAGGCATGAACAACTTTGTGATGCTCATGAAAACATTGTGCGGTTTCAAAGTGTTTCAAAGTGTTTTATATGCATAGAAAGGTAAAATATATACTATATACTATGACAGACATTTGAATAACTGATCTTAAACAAGAAATGTATGTACCTGTTCTGACTTACCTACAAATATGACTTAAAGACAGACTTAGGAACAGATCTTGTTGGCAATTTTGGGACCATCTGTATACTAACATTTCCGCAGGGACATGATTATATTTCAAATAGCCACCATTTCTGAGAATGCAAAGTACAAAATTCAGAAACTGGATTCCAATTCCTTCAATAACGTTAACCTAATTTTTCCTGCAATTACTCCTTGCAACTTACTTACAGTATTATAATATAGGGCCATACCCCTCCCCAGGTTACCAGTTTCCAAATGTCTATCCCAGATGATACTCCTATTTTATGAAACTGACTTTAAATTTTCATGTCCAGTTATAGTTTTAGAAAAATTTATATATCAGAATAAAAATACATGTTCCAAGACAATTCCAGTAATTCCACATTATTTCATCAGTCTTGGAAGAAGTACAGCCAGAATGCTCTGAGAAGCAAGAAGGGGCAGACTTGGTCTTGCTGACATTAGATGCATCATCAGGAGAGACCAATCACTGGAGATGAACTTCATGCTTTGTAAAGTAGAGGGTCAGCAAAAAAGAGGGAAACCCTCAATGAGATGGATTTACCTAGTGGTTTCAACAATGGGCTCAAACATACCTACAATCGTAAGGATGGCACAGGACCAGGCAATGTTTCATTCTGTTATACATAAGGTCTGCGTGAATCGAAGCTGATTAAACAGCAACTAACAAGAACAACAACCACATTATTTCAGAACTAACTGTTTTAGTATTGCACAGACTCTGAGAACGTCCATTGCAACCATGAATAAAATACAACTCTATAAGTACTTACATAACATTGACATCAGACTTCATTTACTACTGCTACTATTATTTTCTATGTATCAGCGGGGTAGAATCTCAGTCTGTCTAGTTCACTACTCTCTCTGCAATGAGACTGGCAAGTAATTGTTCTTAAGATTCTGTGAGGGATGAGTTCATCAATGACTGAACAAGGTGCAAAATATATGGATTATATATTTCTTATGAGAGATGGAAATTATATATTCTTTCTATAGCAGACAAAACAGAGTCTTGATACACGGGAGTCACTGCTCATGAGAACAAAGGGGCTGACTGTTGGTAAACACATACTGATTAATGCAGATATGTTCACCAGCCACCAACTGGAATTATTAAAAAGAGCCAGATAAGTATTAATTATGGAAGAAAGGGCATAAGATAATACAAAGGTGCTCACCAGGACAAAGATACTTTGGATGGCTCTGGTCTCAGCAGAGGATCTGGGGAGACTTTGTTCATATGAATGTGTTGGACCTGCTGCTTGTGTCTGTACAGGATGAAAACCATGGAGCCGCTGGACCAGAACATGAATCCCAAACTTAAAACATTGTGGGAGGATATCAACGCTGCATAGAGTGAGAATGTGACATTGTCATACTTTTCAGTAGAACAGTATTGCAACACATTTTCATTTATGATGGTATTGTTGCTCCATTTGCTAGACACATAAATAGGAAAAATGACACTGACCAGCATGTGTAGTATCCAGCAAAGTATATTGGAGGGACCAGTGTACTTTAGGGCTTTTAGTTTAAGCTCTGCCCATCTGGTGTGCATGGGGCTAATGGTGATGGTCTGGAAGACACTCAAGAGGCAAGTGGTGCAGATGGACATACCTCTGGCCACCCTTTGAAGATATAAAACAAGTTTGCATCCAAAATCATTGAGGAAATGTTTTAATCCAAAAGCAAGCATTGTCTGGGGGACTCCTATAGATAGAATGGCCAAGGAGTCGGCTACAGTCAGGTGCCTGAGAATCAAGTCTGTGGATCGTGACCCACTTCCATAGAAATAAAGGAAGATGTAACGAATTATGAGTGAGAAATTCCCCAGGATCCCAATGACTATCTGGAATAGGAGGATCGTTGTTATATTCAAATCCATGGAGGCTATTCTGTCACTTTCCAGGGCTTGAGATTCAAATTCACAGAGAATTCTTCATGGAAATGTGAGCTGTGGCCTTCATTGTTCATGGTTTAGAGGTCATAGATAAATGTAGATACCCTGAATAATTTTCCATGATCCAACAGGATTTATTCAATATATATTAATATGGTAACAGAATCATTCTTTTTTTTTTTTTGCCAACAAAGTACAATGACATCCATCACAGAAATTATTGTACAAAACTATGCTGTGGTCCAAATTATAGAACATGGAACATAAATAAATGATAAAGTATTTAGGGGTAAAAACTAAATTAATTCTTATCAAAGATCATGTTACCATGTATTTGTTGCTTTCGAAAAATGAAGTGAAACTAAAATTTTTTTTGGAAAAATATAAAACATAGGACAAATATGCAAAACTACAGAAAAATAATTCTATTTTGCCATTTACTATCCAGTTATAGTTTCTGCTGAGAATTAGATAATTCAATTAGCTCCATCATACCCAATACTACATACCAGAGCATTTACAAAAATAGCTATAGTACTCCTAAAAATTTCTTTGTGACTTTGCACATCACATTGAATGGTGGATTAAATTTGAAATTACAACCTTGAAGTACCATAAAATTCAGATTTTAATACTGCTTGGATCAAACATTAAGAACCACCTTCAGTGAGAATTTCCTAAATTGCATTAGGAGAAGCTGTGGGTTGGTGTCAGGTCTCAGACCTCCAGTCTCCCTCCAAAAACTCAGCTCATGCCTCAGGAATTGTCGTCCTTCCTGTGTGATGCTAGCACTGGGACAGTTTCTACCACAGATAAATCCCTTTTCCAGATATTATCACTCACCCAGCTCCTAATTCGCCTCTTTCCCTTCTAGAACCTACCTTTCAGGCTGAAATAGAAAATACTCACCTGACTCTACCTACTGCCAGGATAATGGGCTCAGTGATGGTCACAACAGCCAAAACAAGTGTGAAAGAGAGGCAGCCAGACCCTGAGATATGAGTTGGAGATTCTGTGACCTCACCTCCCCACAGACCTGCAATTATCATCTCACCTGTTATGATGGTCCACCGCTGGGGAGCTGAGAAAAGTTCTGAAAAAATTTGTCCCACTTTTTAATTAATTCCCAGAAACTTAAGTGTCAAGGAGACCATTGGAGCATCTTGGAGACTCTTCATTTTTCATGACCCTTGGAGGCAGACAGGGGCTCCCATAGACGGAGCAGGAAAGGCTGAGATCTGAGCCAGGATGGACTGGTAGATCAACTCATGGGTCTCACTGGATTCTCTCCTTCCCTGAAAAGTTCTTCCAAAATCTAATATTTTGCTAATCCTCAGACCCCTGAGTACCATTAACCTTTAATTTATTAACACAGAAATGGAATTGCATAAAGTACCTCAGAAGGACTTTTAATTTGTAATTATGAAAGTAAGAGTGTGATATCAATAATAGAGGTTAGAAAACATTTGCCTCTTTTGCCTAACTCAATACAAATATACTTGGAAACCCAGATGAAATGGATATATTCTAGATGAAAAATCTTGGCTGTAATTTTTATGGAAGCAGATCTTCATGCATTTCTTCAGCAGAGCCCCAGTGTAGGCTAGAACTGCCAACCTTTAGATTAGCATCTGATCGAAAACTGCTTGCACCATCTAGTCTCCTTTCTGAAAAATTCCAAGTCTAAATAGAACAATATCAATAGATGAATGTTGCCTTTGAGTCGATTCCAACTCATGGCAACCTCATGTGTTATAGAGCAGACCAGCTCCATAGGGTTTTCTTGGCTATAATCATTATGGAAGAAGATCACCAAGCCTTTTTGGTGTTATCGCTGATTGTGTTCAAACCCCCAATCTATAGGTTAATAGTTAAGGGCAAACCATTTGCGCCACCTAGGGACCTTTGATACTAAATACATTAATTGAAGAAATAAATCAACCAAGTAAATATAAGACTGTTATCAATGCTATGGATGATGTAAAACAAAACATATCTTAGAATGTTACTGGATGGCATAACAGTTAATTGAATGGCCATGGAAGGTGACATTAAGTTGTGATTTCTATAACAAGGAGTCAACAAGAAGACCATTCTTGCTCATGAAAAACATTCTGGAGGGAAGCGATAATGCAGGGTCATGAGACAGAGGTCAGTGCTCCATTATGGTGGGAAGGACAGAATTCAGGACATGGGTCTATAGTCCGGTGAGTGAGGGGAGACATGAGATATGAAGTGATACCGGGGGCCAGTCATGTTGGCCATTGTAAGCCAAGACGAGGACTGTGCAACTCACTTTCTAGGTGATGCAAGAAGTGAAGGAAAAATTATTACCCAAAGCACATTGCAAAATATCATCCTGCTTTCTCTGTGGGAAATAAATTGTAGGGAAGGAATTGAGAAGGCAAGGACCTGTTAAGTAGCTGTTGCAGTAATTCACATGACAGGTAAATATTGATTCTACTGATGGAAATGGGGAGAAGAACAATTCAGTAGAGGTTTGAGAGGTAGGACTTATACATGCTGGATCATATGAAAGACACCTTGAGCAACTGGCTCAATAAGATTGCTATTTACTGAGTCATTGAAAACTGGAGGAGGAACAGGCAACTGGGAAAAAGAAGCTTCTGTAATGGACTTGCTAGGAGTTGCTGGGTGGGGCAAACAATTAAGTGTTCACTAACTAATTGAAAGGTGGGCAGTTTGAATCCGTCCAGAGGCACTTTGATCTACTTCTGAAAGGTCACAGACACTGAAAACCCTATGGAACACAGTTCTACTCTAAAACACATGGGGTCACCATGACTGAGTTCATTAGACGTCAACTGATTTGGTTTTTTTGGTGTCTGATGGACTTGGTGATTTGGGGATGGTTCTTAGACCTTCAAGTAGAGATGTACTGTAGTTTATTGGAGGTTTCAATTTTACTTCCAGAAGGGGTCAGCCTGCACATAGAGATTGGGCAGTCATTAATTAAAAGGTAGTGTATAAAGCCACAAGGTAGAATGAGATCATCAAGTAGAAGTGCAAGGGTACGCAGTTACAAAACTTATTTAAGGGTCAAGCACTGGAGGAAAAAACAACAAAGAAGAATGAATCAAAAAGGAGTGACCAGTGAGGTAGGAGGAAACCAGGATGTTTCATTTCACAGGCCCTTGTTATTGTTGTTGTGGTTAGGTGCATTTGAGTCAGCTCTAACTCATAGAAACCTCAAGTATAACAGAACTAAATGTTACCCAATCCTGTTCCATCCTCACTATCACAGCTATGTTTGAGCCCATTGTTGGAGCCACTGTGTTGATCCAGCTCACTGAGGATTTCTGTCTTTTTCACTGACCCAAAAGTGTGTGGAAAGAGGGTACAGTCAACTACACTGAAATCTACTGAAGGTCATGTGAGCTGACAATAAGATGTGGTAATATGGGTGTAAGTGGTGATCATGACTAGTCTCTTCCGAACACCAGGTAAGAGCCTGACCTGAGTGAGGTGAGATGACTGTGTAAGATGAGATTGCATATGGCAAATAATTAACTCCTTTGAGAATTATGGCCAAGAAGCTGAGAAGACATATCAGCCACTGGATATAGAGTAAAGTAAGTTTAAGGCAGGGCTTGAAAAGCTGTAGAGACCAAAGTTTATTAGTGGTTAACAGAGGCAAGAAGGAGGAGGAAAGAGGTGGCCATTGTTTAAGAAGCAGTGAGTTTCTGTTTAGGGTGATGGGAAATTTGGCAATGATTATTGGTGATGGTTACACAACATGATTAATTTAATTGATATCAGTAACTTGTACACATGAGAACATTGAATTGGCAAATGTGAGATAGATAGGTAGATAGACAGACAGACAGACAGATAGATAGATGGATAGATCTTTACAGAAACACCAATGAAAAGACAGGGTTTGAAACTCAACTTTGAGTTAACACAGTCACTTTTAATATGTTACACAGGTCTCTGGGACGTACTGTTCCCATCTATAAAATGGGGATAATAACATCTGCTTCATTTTAAATGGTGTGAGGCAATTGAAAGAGTGAGAGACATGAGTGATGTCCTGAAATGGGGGTTAAAACAAGTTGAAGACTTATCACAAATATGGTGTAGTGGTTAAGAGCTATGGCTGCTAACCAAAGGGTCAGTAGTTCCCATCCACCAGGCACTCCTTGGAAACCCTATGGGGTGGTTCTACTCTGTCCTATAGGGTTACTATGAGTTGGAATCAACTGGACGGCAACAGGTTTGGTTGTTTTTTGTTTTATTAACTGGGAGAGTGGAAATGATAAAGAGCATGTGTTGGGTTAGTGGAGTGATCCAAGTGTATAGTTTATGAGGTGGAAGAGTTCAACATTTTAATTATTTGCCAGCTGAAATTTGTCTTAGTGTAAACTGATGATCTTCTTCCAAAAGGTCAAGCCTTGAACATCCTCTGGAGCAGCTCTATTCTTATCATGAGTTGAAATTGACTCAATGGTAAGTATCGACAACCACAAAGCCACGTATTATATATATGTGGAAAGAAAATATTTTCCGCCTACGAGAAGGGAAGAAGGTGGTATTGGTCTTTTTCCTTCAGTCAATAAGGTATAGAAAAATCCAACCGACAGCTGTAGCTATCCTGATATAATTGAACAAAGAGACAGGATCCATGTTCTAACTTCCTCTCATCATTTCAAAAACCATCTCCAACTTTGATATGTTTGAGCTACATGGTTTTTTATTCACTTGGCATGACCACTATTCCATTCTAACCCTGAGAACCAATTTTCCAAAAAAACCTTCACAGAGAGATTCTTGCTGACATTTGCCAAGTAGAGAAACTTGTATGCCATTTAGGAGACAGAAGTGAAGCAAAAGCGATTAATCTCAGAAGAACTTATTGACTGATGCAGAGCTTCACGGACTTCCTCATCAGACTCCATTGCACAGTCATGGCAGCCAGAAGCAGTGACTTCTCTGTCTTCTCAGTGAGCTCTGGCTTCAGAACG